TTAACTGGAATTTTTCACTTACCGGCACCCCCGATTCCCTTAACATGCTGGATAAAAAATCTTTTACTGTATTAGCTACCTTCCAGTCATCTGGTACAGAGGCTTGTTTCAACAATAGATTACATACTACAGTAAGTAGTTTGATATTTGAGTTCCTTCAGAACTCTTGGGTCAATACCATCTGGTCCTGGCAACATTACAGTTTAATTTATCAGTTTGTTGTAAAACCTCTTCTATTGACACATCAGTGTGGGACAGTACTACAGACTTGTCACCCAAAATGAATAGCTCTGATGTGGGAATCTCCCCCACGTTCTCTGCAGTGAAGACTGATACAAAGAATTCACTTCACTTCTCTGCAATGTCCTTGTCTTCTTTGAGAGCTCCTTCCAGGGGCATGGATCAGCATTCGCATCGCGCTCCCCGTCAGTACCCAGCCCGGGTCAGGGAAGCTAATGATCCAACCAGCAGACCAAATTTGGTGATGAATCCTAGTCGCGTGCCACCTGAGACACGTTGTGTATACACTAAGAAGAAGTGCTTCTTTAGCACCTTTGTTGTCCAGTGACCCCACTGTCTGTATGGCAGGCTTCCTGCTTCTGATGTACTTTAAACAATTCTTACAGTTAGTTTTGTGTCTTTAGCAAGTTGCTTCTCAAATTCTTTCTTCGCCTGCCTTATTATATTTAACCCGCCAGACTCTGTGCTCCTTTGAATTATCCTCACTAGGTTTTCACTTCCAAATTTTAAAAGATGCCTTTTGCCTCTCAAGGCATCCATTATTCCACTGTTTAGCCATGGTGGCATTCTTTTGGTCCTCTGTCTTTTCTAATTTGGGATATACATTTAGTTTGAGCCTCTTATGGTGTTTTTAAATAGTCCCCATGCTGCTTACAGGTATTTAACCCTTCTGATGGCTCCTTCTAATTTCCATCAAACAAACATCCTCATTTTTGCATTGTTCCCTTTTTTAAAGTTAAATGTATTTCCCCCCCCCTACATGGATGATAAATTTAATACATTATGGTCGCTATTACCAAGCGGTTCAGCTATATTCACCTCTTGGACCAGATCCTGTGCTCTACTAAGGACTAAACCAAGAATTGCCTCACCTCTGGTGGGTTCCAGGACTAGCTGCACCAAGAAGCAGTCATTATCGGTGTCTAGAAATTTTATCTCTGTATTATGACCTGAGGTGACATTTACCCAGTCAATATGAGGGTACTTGAAATCACCCATTATTGTTGTGCTTTCTGCTTTTGTGGCCCCCTCTAATCTCCTTGAGCATGTCACAATCATTGTTACCATGCTGGTCAGGTGTTCAGTAGTATATTCCTACGGCTATACTCTTTTTATTCAAATATGGAATTTCTTCCTGTAGAAATTCTATGATACGGTTTGTTTCATTTAAGAGTTTTACCTCATTTGACTCTTTGCTTTCTTTTACATATAGTGCCATTCCAGCACCAGCGTGAGCTACTCTCATTCCCATACATTTCATACTTTGGTATTACCATTTCCCACTGGTTATCCTCATACCTTCAAGTTTCCATGATGCCTATTATGTCAAAATCCTCATTTAATGCCAGGCACTCCTGTTCACCCATCTTAGTATTTAGACTTCTTACATTCGTATATAAGCACTTTGTACATTTTGTCACTACTCAATTGCTTGCCTTATTGTGTTGTTTTTTATGAGAGACTCTGATGTGCTGAATGAAATGAAGGAGCTTCCTCTCTCCATGCCTCTTGTCGAGGCAGAGTGACTTTGTGTTTGGAAGCCGTTGTTTTTGGGGAGGTTTCAAGTGTCACCCAGGCGCGTATGGCCTTCTATGTGAGGGAAGTACAGTATCAGACAGCCACTATATCACTGTTGCAGGGCATTTCTGAAAAGAATTCCCACCATTCTTATTCCTTATTGTTCCAGTTTATCACAAAGCCTTATATTGACAGTACTAAACTTTAAAATACTTATGTATAAAATGGCCTACATAAGAGGCAGTATCATTCCCCCACCACGTTGTGTGGTTCAATTGGTTGTAGCCATGTTGGTCCCAGGATATTAGAGGGAAAAGATGGATGAGGTAATATCTTTTATTGGATCAGCTTCTGTTGGTGAGAGAGACAAGCCCTATAGCCGAAGAAGAGCTCTGTGTGGCTCGAAAGCTTGTCTCTCTCACCAACTGAAGTTGGTCCAATCAAAGGCATTACCTCACCCACCTTGCCCCCCTTGTGTGAGACATTTTGATTTGTGGCTATAGCAGATCAGGGTTAAAGATGCAAAATGCTACAGGCAGGCATACATTGTTAATGTGTTACCAATAGGGAAAGAAACATGCCCACCCCAGTCAACACCAACTAGAGATTATATCCTCTGTGGTAGTTTGTTTTCTTTCATTTGTGAAAGTTAATATTGGGGCTGATTTGGATTCTGTGCCAACTATAAGTTGGTTACACAGTAGAATCCCTCACAATTCATTTCAGAACTTCCAAATAGGATGGTAAGAAGAAGGAGCATGAATGAATTATGAGATCTCAAGCTACTAACTGTGCTTGGGTAGTGATGCAGGATTCGTAATTTGGTATTGCATTTCATAGAATCATAGAACTGGAAGGGACCTCCAGAGGTCATCTAGTCCAGTACCCTGCACACGTGGCAGGACTAAGTATTATCCAGACCACCCCTGACAGGTGTTTGTTCAACCTGCTCTTAAAAATCCCCAATGATGGAGATTTCACTATCTTCTTAGGCAATTTATTCCAGTGCTTAACCACCCTGACAATTAGGAAGTTTTTCCTAATGTCCAGCCTAAACCTCCCTTGCTGCAATTTAAGCCCATTGCTTCTTGTCCTATCCTCAGAGGTTAAGAAAAACAATTTTTCTCCTTCCTCCTTGTAACAACCGTTTATGTACTTGAAAACTGTTATCATGTCCCCTCTCAGTCTTCTCTTCTCCAGACTAAACAAACCCAGTTTTTTCAATCTTCCCTCAAAGGTCATGTTTTCTTGACCTTTAATCATTTTTGTTGCTCTTCTCTGGATTTTCTCCAATTTGTCCACATCTTTCCTGAAACGTGGCACCCAGAACTGGACACAATACTCCAGTTTCTGAAAGTCTGTCTAATTTCTGCATGAATAACCTATGCAATAATAGTAATCAATACTAATTTATTTATTTAGCATGTGCATAGTCATCTCGCCAAGCGATGGCATCTTCAGTGGCGTGATGCAGTTCTTCTAGGCCACCGCTGAACCTAGTTAGCAGGCATTCCTCGACAATGTAGGTGCCTGAGGTTAGACATCCAAATCCATATTTAGGCACCTAAGTAAATACCTAGTAAGTAAGTGGCCAGATTTTTCAGAGGTGCTGAGCACCTATAGCTCCTATTGAAGTTACTGGACTTGTAAACATCCACAAAACTACCTTGTCGTCCTTTAAATCCCTTCATAAACCTCTCCTTTGCTGTGATGCCTACAAAAAACTGGGCGATGGTTAGGCAGCTGGTGTGCTGAGATCACTGCCCACGATGCTGACAAGGACTGTCTCATTGTTTCCTTGTGCTCCCTCGTCTGTCTGTCTGTATCCATCCGTTATCTCTTGTCTAATATTTGGGTCGCAGGCTGTCTGGGGCAGGGACTGTCATAGTCATAGAGTTTATGGCCAGAAGAGACCATCAGATCATGTAGTCTGACCTCCTGTGTTTCACAGGCCACAAACACCACCTGCCCACTAAACCCAACAATCAAAATTAGACCAAAGTAGTACACCCTGCAGGAGACTAAACTAGTGTGTGCCACATACAGGGAATAGGAGGGGTTCAGGTGCACCAATACCTGAGGCCCCTGCAATGGTAATGGAATTGATTAAGTAAGATAGACCCAGATGTTCCTGGTAAGCAACCTGTGCTCCATGCTGTATCGGAAGGTGAAACACACTCACCCACCCACCCCATCATGGTCACTGCCAATTTGAGCTTGTGGAAAATTCCTTCCTGACCCCACACATGGCGATCAGTTTGACCCTGAGCATGTGAGCAAGAAACCACCAGCCAAATACCTGAGAGAGAGAATTTTCGGTACCATCTCAGATCACCAGTCCACCCCACCCAGTGCCCCATCCCCAGCTGTGGCCATCTCTGATGCTTCAGAGGGTGCCTTTTTGTTCGGTGCTTGTATAACACCTAGCACAACTGGGTCCTGGTCCATCACTGAGGTTTCTAGCTACCACAACAATAACCACTGTCCATGAGGAGTGAATCCACTGAAGTCTGTGGAGTTGAACCAGCGTAAACTTGTATAAGTGAGATCGAAATCAGGAAAACTGTATTTTGTGGCTGGCTGAAAACTTTCTAAAGTGGAGCACTAGAAACGCTTTGCCTTGATATTTTGGGAAGATTTGCTGTTTAATATTTTACTTTTCAGGTACATCCTGTATGAGGTCACTGCAGCATTGTCCTTGGTCTCTTACTCTGAGTCCAAATACTGCAGTGCTTCCAGTTCCTTAATATGCATGGAAAATGTATATCGGGCCTGATTTCTAGGTGTTTCCAAATCTGCATCAAGCTCAGACATGATACTCCAGCAGAAAGCAGGCTTGTGAAGGGAAGGAGGAGTTTACAGCCTTAGAAAATAGCTCTGGAGCCTCCCATCCAGATTCCTGACTAGTTCCTGGCACCCCAGCTGGCTGGAATAGTTCCATTTGTCGGGGGTGAGGTGGGAGGGTTGGACCAGCATGGCCTCAGGAAGAATTCTTCGCCTCACAGTCGGTTTCACAAACCTCTTTTCAGATGGCACCTGCTTCCGCTGTCCAGACGTGACCAGACTCCATGCGCACTGATATGACGTGGGAAATCCCAGCCCCATTGAAGTCAGTGGCTAAACTCCCATTGACTTCAGTGGGATCAGGCTCATTGTAAATGACTATTGATGTCTCTTCTCTGTAGATCTCATTTTTTAACTCCAGTTTTAGCTCACTGATCTTTTTCCTTTCCCTTTTCCAGATAAATTTTGTATTTCTATTTAACATCGTTAGGATTTTAATGACAAAACTGAGAGCTTCAACCACTTCAGAAACAATACAATACAGGTAAGTTGGCCAGTGCTTTTCACAATTGTTATAAGAAATGTTCTGACCTTCTCTATGCAGTATGTACGCTGTGGGGTTTTTATTAATTAGATACCTAAAACGCTGCATACTCCACCGCTTGCCCTGACGTTGTTCTGCCTTTGTATTTTAGGATTGTACACCTAGGCTTGGTAAATGTATCGCCTTATACTTTAGGCATGCCCTGCTAGGGCACAATATCATTGTTCATAGGGCAGGTTATTTTCTGTTTTTTTTTTTAAAATGCATCTACAGAAATTTGCATACATTCTTGCACCCATTCCAATTATGTGCATGGATGAAATCAGGTACACCCACTGGAATTTATGTGCAGATAGATATGCGCTGTTGCATCTCCTAACCTGTTTACATGCTTCAGGGTGCTCATGTGCCTCTACTGTACATATGCAAAGGTACCTATTTCAGAATTTGGCCCAATGTCACTAGCTAGGTCAGTCTGGTGTAAAAGTGATACATCAAGAAGGCCACTTTTTCCTCTCCAGTAAAATATGATTGGTTCATGGGAGGAGAGCATTTAACTACCGGTTTCAAAACATATTACAATAGCTATACAAACAACATTTTTCTGTAATCCACTACACTGATGGCTAGAATATTTATGGATCTTAGTTGACTGATGAGTGTAGAAATGTGCAACCTGTACCAAATTGCCTCTCCGCTTATGCACACAATTTTGTGGGTGCATGTAATAATACTTTGACTGCCAAATAAATAGTTGATGTGCAGGCACAAATTTGGATCCCTTTTCTGCATTCCTAAATTCCCAGCGAAGGCAGTAGGCATTTGAGGGAAACAAGGAGTACAGGATTGGGTCATAGACTTGAGCCCACGGATCAAGTAGGTAGACACAGAGATGTTTCTGTTCATGCCCACAGATTACTGTACATCCAAATACAGGGAGCAATGTAGAGGCCGTAAGCACCTTGCAGGAAATGCTGACTTGAACGCCTTGTAAGACTGGACCTTTAGAGTACAGAGTGAGATCTTGTGTGGTTATGCAGATCTCCCAAGCTCTGCAGGGGTTTTATGGCAGGCACAACTGGGACTCCCAAAGTCACCTGTCACTGCTGTGTGAAATCTCAGGTTCCCAAGCTGAGCGCTGAACCCTGAAGTCTGCCCTGCTTGTGTCTTGAAAGGGAGCTTTGCCTAAGTAACGTGGCTTTGGTGTCTGGTCCACTGCTTTCCTTTTGCTTCTGTCCTTGAAACACGGTTTCAGGGTAAGCTGTGAGGTTAATGCACTGGCCTGATGCTCTTGCTTCGATTCCCCGCTGCACATTCACTGAGAAATGAAGCCCATGGTAGAAAAAAATTCCGTTCTCCCTGCTCATGCCTCATGCAATGGTTCCAAAACCAAAAGGGGGGAAAGACTGAGATCTCAGCTCCTTGCTCTCCCTGGGGTGAATGGTGGGGCATGTCAAAACATTCCCAGACCGCTTGAATAAGACGAGCTGGCTTTATCCCTGCACAAGTGATGATGATCAGATTTTTGTCACAAACAGTTTTCAAGAAGCTGCAAAGCTGCTTCTGCACACGGTGAATAAAAAAACATTTAAATTTCATGCAAGCCTCATGCAGTGCACCGGGGGTCCCTCAGGTTTCACCTAATCTTTTAAACTTCACAGTAGTAATGTCATGAAAGAATCTGCCCTTTTTAAACGGTTAGGCAGCTGTGGGTTGAGACCACTGCCTAGCGTGCTGACCAGCATTGTTTCCTTGTGCTCCCTGTCTGTCTGTCTGAAGAGAGAGAACTGGACTGAGATTCAAGAGACCTGGGTGCTATGCCTGGCCTGCTGGGTGACCTTGGACAAGTCACCTGGTCGCTTTGTGCCTCAGTTTCCCCATCTGTAAAATAGAGAGAATGATACTGCCTTTGTAAAGCACGTTGAGATTTACTGGTGACAAGCACTATGTAAGAGCTAGGTGCTATTATTATTATACGCCTGTTGTCTCTTTTCTTACACTTGGAACTTGGGGCCAGGGACTGTCTCTTTCTTCTGTGTTTGTACCGCACCCAGTGGGGTCCTGCCCCATGACTGGAGCTCCTACAGGCTACTGCAATACAAGTAATATCTAATAGTATTGCCCCAATAGTCACTTAAGCTTGAAGAATACCCCATATTCGTATTGTTTATTGATATTGTGGTAACTCCTAGAGGCCCTAGCCAGCTCTATTGTGCTAGATGCTGTACAAACATTCACCAAAGAGACAGCCCCTGTCCCAAAGTGCTTACAATCAAAGTATAAGATGATAAACAACCGGTGGATACAACAAACAGGCAGGAGCACAAGGTACCAGCGGGAGGATACTGGATGGGCACGCGAGCTGCCTGTACTGGAAGGAAATCACTCACTAGCCCAGAAAAGAATCTCAGGGTGTTCGCTGTGCTCAGGCTTCTAGCTAGTGCGACTGAGAAAGTGGGTCAGAGAGTGTCTAGAGAGAGAACGCAATGGAGGTAATGAATGTTTCCAGCTGACCCGCGTGTCACTGCAGAGCTGCGCTGGGTTCAGAATGCAGTGTTCGCTGGCAGGGATGGCCAGCATGATCAAAAGCCTTTCACAGAGCGCCGCCTCTTCCAAGTGTTTGTGGCCAGGAGTTTGAGTCACAACCGTTAGCAGCAGCAGCAGACAGAAAAGCCACATGGTATTTCATAACCTGGTGCGATGGCGGTTGTTCTTTCCCATTCCCCCTGCCCTCTGCTAACCTCTGCCCGCACTGCACTGCCAGTAATTGGGATAGACAGTTAACTCCTTGCCTGCCAGATCAGAGTAGGGGCTCAGCACCCTGTTACATGCAGGGATTTCTATTATTTCCCTTCCTTTTCACTGAGAAATGGCCATGGGTTATTCTTTATTTTCTTCTCCTTCTTTTTTCTTGTACATAATGACAAGCATTTCCTTGAGGTGATCATCTGCCTGTCCTCCTCTTACATGATTATCCTTTTGCCTTCTGTTTGTCTTCAGGGGGAGGAGGGATAGCTCAGTGGTTTGAGCATTGGCTTGCTAAACCCAGGGTTGTGAGTTCAATCCTTGAGGGGGCCACTTAGGGATCTGGGGCAAAATCAGTACTTGGTCCTGCTAGTGAAGGCAGGGGGCTGGACTCAATGACCTTTCAAGGTCCCTTCCAGTTCTAGGAGATAGAATATCTCTATTAATTATAGTTCATTTATGAGGACCTTAAAGACACATAGGAACGCCATGCTGGTTAAGTGCTAGTTTGACTCACAACAGCAAATAGAAGGATTTTACCTGTCTCCGGGCAGACAATAATCCATCATCTGTCCATATCAATTGGAATCCTAGGGCAAGATTAGACGTTAACCCATATTTTCAATCCATTGTTATCTAGCTTTCCCCAGTTTAGCCCAAATGTTCCTGAAATCAAAGAGTAGAAGGATGATTTTAATCCTTATTTCAGGAATTTTAGGGATATGGGGGCCAAATTCCTCCCTGGCGTAGAGGAGGTGAGAGGAAAAATGGTCTTGTGATTAAGGCGCTAGACTGGGGCTTCCTAGCTGTGCTGGGCAAGTCACTTAATCTCTCCATGCCTCAGTCTCCCCACTGTTAGGGGGGATAACACCAGCTCCCTTCCACTTAGGGGTGCTGTGAGGATAGATACATCAATAACAGTGAGGTGCTCGCATACCCATGCTAACAGGAGCTGTGTAAGGTAGTGTGCATAGCCAGCACTAGTCACCAATACAGGGCTTGTCTATATTACCCACTGGATCGACGGGCAGCGATCGATCCAGCCGGGGGCGATTTATCGCATCTAGTCTAGACCCGATAAATTGACCACTGAGCGCTCTCCTGTCGACTCCGGTATTCCACCAGGGCGAGAGGTGCAGGTGGAGTCGACGGGAGAGCGTCAGCCATAGACTTACCGCAGTGAAGACACCACGGTAAGTAGATCTAAGTATGTCAACTTCAACTACGTTATTCACGTAGCTGAAGTTGCGTAACTTAGATCGATTCCTCCCTCCCCCCAATGTAGACCAGGCCTGAGTTGTTTAAATACAGCATCTTACTCCTGAAGTCTGATAGGAAGAGACACCAGTCGCATATTGTTTTCAAAATCCCTATCAGCCGTGCAAATCCAATCTGGCTGTTAAATTTTCGCTCTGTAATCTCCCTTACTATTATAATTATAAATCAGTAATTTCTTGTTGCTTAATTAACTAGCAGACTGGAAATGACACACTAATCACAGTGCAAAATTGCTGGAATAGACTGACTGTAATTTGATCATGTCACAAAATCTCACCACCACAAATCATTTCACACCTTACTGCCAGCTTCCTTGAATATAAGACGGTTACTCACCGTTGTAACTGTTGTTCTTCGAGATGTGTTGCTCATATCCATTCCAGTTAGGTGTGTGCGCGCCGCGTGCACGATCGTCGGAAGATTTTTACCCTAGCAACACCCGGTGGGTCGGCTGTGGAGCCCCCTGGAGTGGCGCCGTTATGGCACTGGATATATACCCCAGCCGACCCAGCGCCCCCTCAGTTCCTTCTTGCCGGCTACTCCGACAGTGGGGAAGGGGGGCGGGTTTGGAATGGATATGAGCAACACATCTCGAAGAACAACAGTTACAACGGTGAGTAACCGTCTTTTCTTCTTCGAGTGCTTGCTCATATCCATTCCAGTTAGGTGACTCCCAAGCCCCACCTAGGTGGCAGGGTCAGAGTGAGACATTGCCGTGTGCAGAACCGCTGACCCAAAAGCAGCATCGTCTCTGGATTGTTGCACCAGCGCATAGTGGGTCGCGAATGTGTGGACCGATGACCACACTGCAGCTCTACAAATGTCCTGGATCGGTACTTGAACCAGGAAGGCAGTCGAGGAGGCCTGGGCCCTCGTGGAATGAGCAGTGAGGCGTGGCGTCGGTACACCGGCCAGGTCGTAGCAAGCACGAATGCAGGACGTAATCCAAGAGGACAGGCACTGTGAAGAGACCGGTG